CAATTCAAGGGGGCAGACTTGTATGGTTCCATACCGTGTGGTCCTTGGTCTAGTTGGCAAAGGTTGAACTGTCAGCAGTATGGTAAGAGGTTCCAGCAAAAGCTGAAAAAGGATAGGAAAAAGTCTCTTAAGATTCTTAGGAACTACATCAGGTGTGCAGAAGTCATCATGCAAAATGGTGGCCATTGTGCATTTGAGTGGCCGAAGAGCGCTGAGGGATGGAAAATTCATGAGTTACTGCAATTTGTGAAAAGAAATCGCTTGTTTGTGTCAGAGCCGCAAGGGTGTGCTTTTGGAATGTGTGACAAAAACAATGTTCCGCATCTCAAAACATGGCGAATAGTGACTTCTTGTTGGAAATTGGCAAAGAACCTCGATGCGCATAAATGCAAGCATGAAAAAGGGTTTAAGCATGCTCCGATAGAAGGAAGCGCTACGCCCAAGAGCGCATTCTATCCGTTGCCTATGGCGCGATGCATTTCCTATAGTCTATATGAAGCTGACATTCCAGCTATGCCAGTTGAACTTGAAAGTGAACCCGTAGGGCGCGAAGAGTTCTCACCTGATGAAGTTCTTGCCGCAGTGCATTTGCTTTTAAACAGGAATGAATGGCACAAACACCCAGGCTGGGAGGAAGCAATTCAGAAAGAGGCTAGTGGAATTAACGCAAATAACACTTGGTCTTTCGATGAAGTAATCTCAAGAAATGATCTCATCGCACGTTCAATCGCAAAGGGGGAAGCTATAAATATTGGTAAGTTAATGACGATCTTATCAGTAAAGAACGTCGAAACCCCAGAGCTTAGAAAACTGAAGGCCAGGATAGCGTTTAGAGGGGATGACATTCGCAACGCAGATAACACACTTGCAGTGCTGCAGGAAGCAAAGGTCAATCCGACCGGACTTGCAGGCATCAATTTGAATCTCGTTTATGGAGCTTTACACGGTCATAAGACCACGCAAAGTGACGTGACACGTGCCTATACTCAATCCCTGCTCAAGACTAAGGTACCCACCTGGGTCGAACTGCCAAGAGAGTTGACTCCCAAAGAGCGCTCTCATCTGGAGCGACCTTGCGTGCGCCTTGTCAGGGCCCTTTACGGGCATCCTGAAAGTGGATGGCACTGGGATAAGAGGTTTAAGGAAATAATGAGCTCTATGAATGGTATTCATTTAGATGACTTTCACAGCAGTTACTGGTTCCCCAAAGAAAAGCTGCTCATGACTTTGTACGTAGACGACATGTTGTTGTCAGGACCCCAAGAAGCACATGATGGCTTTTGGAGAGAACTGGCTAAACACCTAGAGTTTGACGAACCTACTCCAGTTGATCGCATACTAGGAAGGAAGCATGAGGTGAACCGGAATGAAGAAGGTACCACAATCAGGTGTTCTTTGGCAGATTTTGCAAAAAGTTCCTGTGAAGCGTATGAAGCACTCGCAAAGCAAAAACTTGCAAAAGCATCAACTCCATATGTTCCAGACGGGTCACTTTTGGACACTGACTGGGACACAAGAGGGGTTTTGGCTGAGAACGCATCAAGAATCCTAATGAAGATTCTGTGGATGGCCAGGCTTTGTCGACCAGACCTTATGAAAAGCATTGGAGACTTGACAAAACGGTTAACCCAATAGACGATAAACGCTTGTACAGACTCATGACCTATATAAACTCAACGCAAAATTATGTTCTTGAGGGGTCAATAAAGGATTCAATGGACAAGTTGCAAATTAGCCTATATACCGACAGCGACCACTGTTCGGGAATAGAACACACGAAGAGTACCTCCGGCATCTTAATGGCCATCGAAGGCCCTAACTCCTTCTACCCCATAAGTTGGGCTAGCCGCCGACAAACGGCCACCAGCAGGTCAACGACGGAGGCGGAGACAATCTCCCTTGCGTAAGGAGTTTTCAACGAAGGGCTTCCAGCGCAAAGTCTTTGTGACACTTTGTTCAGCCGACCGACACTGCTTGCCTGTCACCAGGACAACGCAGCGGTTTTGCAGATCATTGAAGCCGGATACAGCCCAAAGCTGCGTCGTGCATCTAAAACACATCGTCTTGACTTAGGTTCCCTGTATGAAGTCTTCGAGTCACCTGATGCCACAATAGGGTATATCGCCACTGACAAGCAAAGAGCCGATCCTCTAACAAAGAATCTGTCTCCTTGTCATTGGAGCCACGCACTCAGCCTTTGAAGCATCCAACGCCATGCCGCGAGTAGCGACCAAGCTCCGCAGTTCGGTAGGCCATGCCGTAGTAAGAAGGGGGAGAAGAAGTGCGCCGCCAAACGGTAACCCTAAAATGCAGGTCCAGTTTCACACATGCGTGATAGGACTGTGTCCCTCACGTGCAAGGGAAGAACCTGAAAACCGAAGGGTTCAGGTCATACAGACTTTCATGTGGACTTTGGCTCAAGGCCAACAGCGGGAAAAGGGCGTGTGGGCGTTCGATCTCGCGTTTTTGTGGAGCCCCTAGTAGCGTCCTTGCTCCTAGTAGCGATGCCAGGAGCACCTAGAAGCGTCCTTGCGCCTAGTAGCGATGCCAGGAGCCCCTAGTAGCGTCCTTGCTCCTAGTAGCGATGCCAGGAGCACCTAGTAGCGTCCTTGCTCCTAGTAGTATGGCCAGGAGCCCTGTAGCGATGCCAGGAGCACCTAGTAGCGTCCTTGCTCCTAGTAGGGATGCCAGGAGCCCCTAGTAGCGTCCTTGTTCCCAGCTCTAGCAGCGTCCTTGCTCCTAGTAGCGATGCCAGGAGCACCTAGTAGCGTCCTTCCTCCTAGTAGCGATGCCAGGAGCCCCTAGTAGCGTCCTTGTTCCTAGTAGTAGCGCCCTTGCTCCAAGTAGCGATGCCAGGAGCACCTAGTAGCGTCCTTGCTCCTAGTAGCGATGCCAGGAGCACCTAGTAGCGTCCTTGCTCCTAGTAGCGATGCCAGGAGCACCTAGTAGCGTCCTTGCTCCTAGTAGCGATGCCAGGAGCCCCTAGTAGCGTCCTTGCTCCTAGTAGTTATTCATGTGTTTAGCTTTCGTGGTGTTGATGTCACTGGTACTATTGACGTCACTTGCACTTGCGAACATACTTGGTGCTTTGCAATGGATGGGGTGGTGTGGGGTGGGATGGAATTCAAAACATCAGACGCGCCCTTCAAAACTTTGAGACCGGAAACATACGGCATCCAAACCTGTTCAAAATTGTAGCGGGACATCTAAGAGATACCGGCAAAAGACATTCAAAAAACCTCTCAAACGCACGGCCCCTTACGGGCGCTGTAGCCCAATTTGTGTGTAGAGCGACATACACATATAGATACATGCACACTATAGTAATATATAGATATACACACACACTAAAAAATACTGTATATATATGCACACTATAACATATGTATATATGTATATACATATGCAACATATGCACTACCAGCCCAGTCCAACAAAGTCCTTTTCAAAGGGTTCACTAGTATTTTCAATGTTTTTAATTCTTTGTTACCTTGTTTGTTTCTATTTTTTCAGGTGTGTCTTTAGGCGTAGTTGTTATGTAGCGGGGTCCCACAAACATTTGTGTAATGGCAAATGATGTGTTCTTGATATTCACCGCTGTACTTGGGAGCAATACCTGTTGCAATTTTCAAGATTCCCCAGATATTCTTTGTTTTTTTCCGCAAAGAATCAGAGAGCTAAATCAAAGAACATATTTTTTCGCACATATTTTTGGAAGGTCAGAAACTCCCAAGTGATGCACACTTCCTGATATTGATGCACACTACTGCATGGTGTCTCATGCATCCTCCAGAAAGATTTAAGGTCTTGGGCTAGCTTCAGCAAGGATGAATTGGCAGGCATCGACTTTAGACTGATTATATAGGTGTCATCATGTTCCTCTACAGACAACCCTGTGAAGACATCACCAACCATAGCTTGTTCAAGAGATACATACCAGTGTCGAATTATTTAAGGTTTTTCCAAGGATGAGCATTGAGCATCAAATACAATCTTTAGAAACAATAGCCTTGTACCAATTTGTTCAACACTTTACTATTACTCAATCTGAATGTTTTGCCTTGAATCCCTGAAGCATTCATCATCATTCATCAATGCTCCAAAGCCAAGAATTTGCAGGGTTGTCGACTGGTTGCTACGGAGAGCCCAGACTTTGTGAATCAGGTAAATAATCTATGTAATAGGGCTTCCCGAATATTTAATGAAGAACGTTCACACAAATATGGAAACGGTTGTTCTAAGAGCTATTATGAAAGTTGCCAAACAACCATTAGCAATATATGTATATATACATATATGTATTTGCTTTGGTCAAGACTATGTCATGCCTAGTCCTGATGCTAGACTTTCGGCAGCCATATGCCATGGGTGTGATGATCAATCCGCTCTACACGAGCCAAGGTCACAACATGCAACATGTCGAGTTTATATATACCCCAGCAATCCGATTTGTTGTGACTCGTATCCCTTGCAATGTAGTGCCTAGTACTTATATTCTATGGAGGCGTCAACTCATATATTGAGAAGAGTTATCCAGTCTTCAGCAGTATTGCCCTTTGTACCTTGCAAAAGGTATATAGACCTTCTTTTTGGGAGGGTATATATTGTATATTACAGTATTTTTGTGGGCAAGCATAATTGCTTGTTGAATCAACACACGACGAACTGTAACCAGTATATAGATCAGTCAAACCTGTCATGCGATGTGGCTTGGTGAAATGGTATGCTCGGTTGGATACTGATACTGTATATTCAAGAGTTGTGCTAAAGGTCCTTGTGATGAGTTTGGCAACACACGTTACCGGCTTTCACTTTTGCAATGATAGTGATTCTCTGCTGCAAAGTTTGCAACAGCATGTCCAGAACGGGTTGCAATCGTGCTAGAAGGCTTATTGATGCGATAGGCGCATATTTTGTTGGTCGTGCTCTTGTTTTTCTTGACATGGATTTGAATGAAATGGGTGTTCGTTAAACTTAAACTTTGCCAGCCAGCATTTGAGGTGATATCTTCTATTGGCAATGCGCTGGACTTTGTTCATGGCAAAGGTGAGATCAGATGTGGCAGAAAGTCTCTTAAGACAGTTTCTCCTCTTCTTCAGCTTCATGTCGGGCCGAATGCCAGTGACTGGCAGTGGGTGAAGCAACATGTCATCCAAGCGTCGGGCACACATTATGACAGCCAAGCGCTGCTGTCACGCACATGTCATCAGAAACTGGACCCTGAGAGGAGTGCTGCATCGCGATGTAAAGTGCGCGAATGTGCTGCTCTCCGGCAACTTTGCCCGGGTCTCAATGGGGTAAAGCGATGGCGGCCGACCATGCCTGATGAAATCCACAGGGAGAGAAAAAGAAGGTACGAGCCCTATCAAGGGGGCATGGACAACCACAGGATCATGCATCCATGATGTTTGAGACATGGTGGGCACGAGACAGGGCAAGCCACGTTGAGTGCCAAGGAGCGCATTTGCTTGGCTGACTTTGGGTTGGCATGCCCTATCAATGCAGTTGAGGATGCACCTCAGGCAGCCCTTGGCACCTCGGTCAGCTAACACTTGAGAGATGATGTTTTGATGCGCTCCCAACTCTGAGCAGCGAATCACCTGGTTTTCAAGGCACCAGGGAGCTGTTTGAATACATCGTTTGAACCTCAGATGTTCATTGGTTCAAGTCAAGTAGACAAACATATATATATATATATAAATAAGTAATATATATATATAGAGAGACGTAACGTCTCACCGCCCAAGGATGGCAAAGGGTTCATTTTGGCACCTGTACACAGGCTCGGACAGGTGACCTGGTGGTGACCTGGTCTGGTGGACTGCCGACCACTTTTGGCCAACCGCATCGCATGGTTGTGATATTGACTCAACTTGCCAAAGGAACCCTTGTTTCTGGACAGGTAGAAGTAAAGCAAATCGACATTTGCGGCTGCCGACTTTGCAGATCTGAAGGTACCCCCAGCTATCTTCCTCCAGAAATCATTTGTGGTCGACCGCACAGCCCTGCCGCAGATGCCTGGTGTTTGGGGGTGCCTCGGATCATCAGCCATTTTTGCATTCCATGCACTTTGTGACGTCAGTCCCAAAGAACAACACGAGTTTGTGAGTAAATTCGGAAACGTTTCCATGGGCTGTGTTTCCACGGTCTTTGATGGACAACATAGTCGGCTTTGTGAAGGATATGGGAAGGAACATTTTCTGATTCAATTGGCTTGTCCTCTCTGAGTTCGGGCCACGTAAGTGCAGCCCGTTGCAAAACCCTTTGCATTGTCCTTTGTAGTTGCTTTTAACATCTTTAAACTTTAAACTCAATTAGTTGCTTTCCTTTCTGAAAGTGTCATGAGCGGAAGAACGCTGTGACGTGAAAGCAGGTGGTTGCTTTCAAACTGGCGGCCCTCCGGAAACCCTTCGAAGCGCGTGATGACCTCACACTCACCATGAAGATCGCCTCTTGGAGATTGACACCTTTTGCTTACTTTTGCACATCCAATGTCTATAGTTAAAGGACATCCTGTGCAAAGGAAAAGCGTCATCATCTTGTCATCACTTGTTTGAACATGTAATCTTGAGCCCGTCAAGGGTCACAATAGAGATGAGGTCAAGGACCTCCCGAATGAACTGCCAAAGGATACACCAGCGGATGTGGCATGCGCCGTGCTGGGACTCTTGCACAAGGTGCTCGTTTTCTGCACTGAGTGGGTCGTTCATGCCCGAGAGGAAGAGAGACGCAGCCAGTTTGCACAAACACACTGTGGCACGGCATGTCACCAAGGCGAAAGGTGAATCTTCATGTCTCATTTGATTCTTCATGTGTTTGCAAAGCTATTATGCACATGTCCACTGGACAGGTTTATGACCCATGCTTCAGCCATGCCCCAACCAAGTGGACGTAATTGCTGACATGGGTCTGTTCTCAGACCTTTGTTTTGCCGCATATTTCAGGACCAGAGCAAGCGCCTGCGACCAGCAGATGCTTACGAGATGACGCATGCCTCTTCGCTGGCCAGGCCGTCTCTGGGATGGAAGAGAACAACGGATGTTGTGTCTCTCAGTTGTATTGTCAAAGCACATATCATGGGCCTTCGGATGTGCTGCATTGGAAGGTGATTTGCTTCATCGCTCCCAAACGTTTTTGTCCTTTTTTTCAGTACCGGCAGATGTGACGATAGTTGGGAGGCGAAGTGAAGAACCCATGTTTTCTTCAAATCATGTTTTTCATACGAAGCATTTAGGCAAACCCATGTTGTGTCGCGAGGCTCAGCAGGTTGGCGCAAATGGTAAAGGCACGCACCCATGGTCTGCACAGGCTCCGTGCTTGGTCGCTGTGCTGTGTCACTGGCCGACGATTGGATTGTGGCTTTGTATACATCGGTTGGATACGTGTTGCATCATGTCCACGTCAAACACTTTGGTTGCATTGGTCCATGTGTGTAAGGTATGCGCAAGTGGAGCAGACTGTAGAGACAGACTACTCGTGCATACATCGTGGGCTGTCCCCGTTGTGTAAAACAACATATCAAACTGATGTTAGCATAGAGATTGTAGTTGTTGGTGCACAATCTCTACCGTGGCACAATCTCTACCTGCTAGTCTGTGCAATGACTGGACCCGATTTCTGGGTTTGTACTCGTTTGTTTCTCGTTGCTTGTTCGTTTCTCCAGGCATCCATCAGAGGGTTGGAGGCAGGTTGGAGCGCAAATGGTAGAAATGCTGTGCGAGGGGGGAGCTTCCTTGAAGAAGCGCGAGCTATCCTGCTCCTGCGTCCATATGTAGAAGCTTACCTCCCTTACTTAATTAAGTAGGCGCCTACTTACTCAAGTAGGAGGTCGGAAAAAAAGGAAAATATGAACACAGAAACACATAATGATGTTCAAGATGTAAGGCGAAAAGACTACCTAATAAAGAACACATAGACGACAATTTGTTGAGTCGTTCGTGCAGGTTTGCTCGCTTGTGATGGCGCTCGGCGATGTGAAGACGCTCAGATGGCTTCGATGGCCGCAACCAAAATCCTCCAAGCTTTTCTAGTAGCTTCTTGTTACTAGTAGCGATGCCCTTTGCTACTAGTAGCTTCTTGTTACTAGTAGTAAGGCCAGGAGCTACTGGTAGCGTCCTGGCTCCTAGTGTAGTAGCGATGCCCTTTGTTCCTAGTAGCTTCTTGTTACTAGTAGTAAGGCCAGGAGCTACTGGTAGCATCCTGGCTCCTACTGTAGTAGCGATGCCCTTTGTTCCTAGTAGCTTCTTGTTACTAGTAGTAAGGCCAGGAGCTACTAGTACTGTAGCATCCTTGCTCCTAGTAGCGATGCCCTTTGTTCCTAGTCCAACGAAGAGATGCTGAAACATTTCCAACGAAGCCCTCCATGTTTCTTCCCTTACTTCCTGGCACCTGCGGCCACTTCAGCCAACTGCGCTAGATCAGATGTCCCTGAGCGAGAGGAAATTCTCTGACCTGCTTTCGGTGCCTTTAAGGGAAAGCTCTCGTGGGAAGGTTGTGAAAAAGCACGGAAGAACAATGGCAAAATCGAAGAGGGTTTAGTTGCTTCCCGTTGCGACATAGGGGGCACTACAGTACTTCTTAGTTTGCATCACTTCTTTCTAGCGTTTCCATCGGCAATCTCCAGGAATGGTTCAGGAGTGCAGATGTTGTTTCCTCCCCTGCTTGCAGTCCATGTTGTGTGAGTTTGGTGGGCTTTGATGTTTGGTTCCTGCCAGTGCATGTACTTGCAGGCTTTCATGAAAAGCCCTTGGCCATGCTTTTGGGAAGCGAGACACAATTTCTCGCATGGAATCTGCTTCCAATGACAAGGTACTGTGACAACCGCCACTGATTCCCTAAAGGACATGCAGCCTTCAGGCCGTGAAAATCACGCCATCTTCCGGCGAAGGTAGATTGATTCCCAGCTTTGCCAGACAAGTGAGCGACAGCTGCTTTCATCTATGCGCTTCTCCAGCTGCCTCAATGTTGCGCTTCGTCTTGGAAATTAGTTTTGCCAATTTCTTTACAGGCTGGAACTTGTTTGGAGGTTTTTGCTTAGGACCAGGGAAACTCTCCAGGTGTCATCCAGTCACCTTGTGGTCCGGAGGACGTTTATGGGAAGACCTGGATCCACCACCCCTCAAAGGGGTCTCCTTGGCTCAGATTGACAACTATTTGACGTTCAAGGGATTTCAAGAGCGCATTTTCCTAAATGGTTATATACACGTTTTCCTAATGGTCCGGTGAGCCAAGCTCAGCGAATTCAGCCCATCCCCGAGCGACTGGAGCAAAGACGACCGGAGCGTTTGGGTTCGATGGCCAGTGCTCAGCCTGAGGCTTCGCTGATAGATGAGCAAGGCATCATGGGAGGTTTAAGGGCAGGGGTGATGTTGGTCCACAGCGAGTTTCCCACCCCTCGTCCCATCCTATGAGAATTTGAAGGAGGGACTTGCGGTCAACTGCTACAAGTGCTGCGGTGGGCTTGTTGTGACAGCGTAGAGAGTAGACTCCACCACACATTGTGTTGCTTTGCATATTATTGGCAGTAGAACTACTCCACTTTAGTACTTTGACGCTCAATGCACATGTTTTCTCTCTGTGCAAGCCATTTCAACGGTACTTGACTGGAACTTGTCCAATGACCCACGGTCCAAAGTCAATGAGATACTCTAAGGCGGCAATAATAGCGGTCAATTCTGGGGTGGCCAAACATGCAGTGGACATCAACTCAACTAAAAGGAATTGATAATGTGAAACAAGTTGCACACGTGTGAGCCCATCGCGCACATGAGTTTCCTTCGATTTTGTAAAAACTGGGAGCATGGGGGCGTGCTGCCTCGGCCCCACCCGTTGACCTCTATTTCTCTGAACATGAATTACCGGGCGGAAAGGCAGAGAGACAAGAACAACGTTTCTAGCTCACTGCGTCCAACCCGGCTTAGAGCCTGAAAAACAGGGTTCCAAACGTTCAGGCGATGTTACTGGCGCGAAGCCACGTTTCAAGACGAGAGCAGTTGTGACAGAGTGCCTCGTCATGCCGTTGAAGCACTAAGTGGAGTTTGTCATGAGCTGGCCGAATTCCTGCCTTGCGCTGCAGTCTTACCCTTTTAAAGAAAGAGAGTGATTGTCAGTCAGTCCTCCCAGGACGTTGGCAACCATTCGCTCGACCTTTATCATCAGTTTGTCGCTGTATATGAGGTTTATGTTTGGTGAAACGGAAGCCAACCTGGCTGCTTCACTGTCACTATGACATTCTTTAAGCACTCTGTGCCTGCTACACCAATGTCTAGACTGGCAACACCATCAAGGTATGTGATTGCACGGATGTATGTAGATAAATCCTAGCACTTTGTTGATCTTTGTTGTAGATGCTTCATGAACACCCAAGAACCCCGACAAAATAGAATCATATCATATCCTTTTCTCCCTAGCTTAGCAGAGTTGTGTTTGTCGATTCTGGATTTCGATGCTTCGCATTGGAGAGCGCCTATGGCCAGCGTGGAGGATGCTGAGAAAAGTCCCTGCAATTCATGGCCTGCCGCGATGCCTGCAAAGTGGGGTATGGAGAAATCTGCTTTTGGTAGCAGGGAGCGTGCGGGCGAACAGTGCAAGCTAGCTTGCAGCCAAAGAATGGCGCCTTGATTGAACACGGGCAAGTCCCATGAACGCCCAAAAAGACTCTGCAGCTGCCAGTTAATCGGTGAGTTTATTCGCATTGCCAAGTGGACTGGGGCAGGAGGAACATCCCATACTGCGTCTTGACCCCATATTCTTTTTATTGTTATTAGTATTTTGTTTAAACAACAATTCTTATTTATTGTTATTGTAGTTAAGTTTCCCAAAACATCTAGGAACCAAATGATTAGTGCGAGCGCTTCTTCAAGGAAGCTCCCCCCGGCCCTCAGGCGGGAGGACCTTCCTTGAAGAAGCATGAGCTATCCTGCGTCCTAGGTAGTAGCTTAAGTAGCTACTAGCTACTTCTATCCTACTAGCAACCCAGCTAATTACTAGTTACCTCTAGCGGCCTACCCTTCCGGGCTAAAAAAAGGAAGGGGCCATGGGTTCGGCTTGTTCTCATTGCCACGTTTGACTCCCGCACGAAGAACCCGTCAGGACAAGGCCAGGGTCACCGTGAGGGGCTCTGAAAAGGAGGTGGCCAAATGCAAGCAGACGGTGGTTGGGGAGCTCAAGTCGATCAGTCATACTGAACTGCCGAAGATGGCCAAAATCTTCAACAGGCTGCAGGATTTGCAGGACTCTCTTCTGAGATCTCTTTTTCTCTACTGTTGTGTCTTCTGCGACAACCCCAGCCGCAAGCCGGATTCCAATGTAGCTTCCTTGGAGCATTGGTTTCATGTGGACAGAAATGGACGTGAACGTAGACTGACAGAATGCATGCTTTCTGAAATACTGAGAAAGCCGTGGTTGATGGTGCCTTATCATTGGCCACGTGGGGGCACCCGGGTCGAAAGCTACAGGCTTGCACATTTCGACAGGTAGATCGGAGGTGTTTGCTGATAGTTGCGTATGGCTTGCTTATTTTTGATACATTTCCATGCGGTCTCAAACTCATGAGAGTCATGCGGGCAGTTTCCGCGGGCTCGGTCGATTGTTTGCGGCTCGTTCCCACGGGGTCACGGGGTTCAGTGGTTTTTGGTTTTGGCGAGCCTGTGTGTAAGCTTTCTTCATCGGTCAAAGATGGTCAAGGGGATTTCTTTCAAGCAGTTTTAAATATGTTTTTAGATGTTTCTGTTTTTGTGATACTGTATATGATTGGAGTTTGTACATATGCAAAGTCTAGAGTGTAGATTTATAGTAATATACATATATCATATATATATATATCTATGATTCACATAGGGCAATGAACAGACAAGAAACACTTCTAAACGGTTCAGACATTTAGGGCAAGTGTGCACCGCTGTCCATGCTTCGAAGTCTTATAAAACCAGCTCCCCTGTCCCTCGGCACTCTGCCCTTCGCATTTGAGTGGACGAACTACCTTCTGAGACCAATTTCCTTCGCAACATTGGTGTCATTCGCTGCCATTTGTGGGTACTTGCTGGCTAAGGTTGGGTTCACTGGCAGGGGTCAAGGGCCTGAAAGCCGCAGAGGAGAACGAGGCTGTCCTTGCTCTCTAGACTCTAGGCTGCCCCACAATGCCCTTTGGATGGGCCTTCCATATAAGCCTCGGGAACCTCAGATCACATGAATCACCTTCTTCACTCTTTTTTCTCTTTGCTTCTAACACCGATGGCCTCCAACCTACTAGCGAGGATGCTTGATTGGCCAGGAAGTCGCAGCTGCGCCGCCTGGTCGGCCAGGAGATGTTGGGTCGTTTGTGTTGGTCGTCAGCAATGCCAGTCCGATGTCTGATCCGACCCATGTTTGGCCCACTGCAATCCGGAACAATATGAGAAAATGGACAGAACAACTCAGAACGACCATGCGAAATGGGAAGAGTCCTAGGTGACCTTGGTCGGCATGCATTTACAGTGTGGGTCCAAACTTACTAATATCAATTGGTCTTAAGATTGGTCTTTGGAAAATACACTTCTCAGAGTCAGTGTCGGGCTGAATTGTTCTTGTCTCGTCTTGTCTCAAGGGTTTGCTTTATATATATATATATAGAATTGAATTGGTTTGAACATCAAATGCTGGAAAACGATTGCAGAGAATGCCGCATGGCCCCCCTCCGAGTGATTTGAAAGCTTGAGTTGGTGGCCCCCAGGAGTGCTTCCAGTGTCTCTGCCTCTGACGGGTGCACCGGTGCGGACCTCATTCTTCGCCCTCGGAGCTCTCACCTTGGGAAGCCAGGTTTGAAATACTCGGGGCGGCCACACCAGGCATATTCCAGCGCCAAATTCATGGATCACAGTAGTGAAAAGCACATCAAACAAATTGCACAGAACTGCAGGCGCAGGATCAGGACTATGTTTACTTCTGCTGATCAATTGTATTTGGATGCTCTGGACTTTTGACTTTTGACCTCCCACCATTGACCATTTGCACCAGTCCCCGGCGGTGCTTGCGGCAATGGCTGCCCGGCCTTTAGGGGTCCGGGCACCAAGATCCATGAATCGCAGCAAAAGTCAGACACGAATCAGATCAATCAGACCTTGTCGCTTGTATCATGGTCCAAAGCAAAATCCTCAGTCTGCAAGACATGGAGAGGTGCACGGGCATTCATTGACATTGGCGATTGTGAACGATGTCATCATTTGATCATTTGCAAGATCAGCAATGCTCTGACTGACAGTAATTTGCTGCAGCCTGTCGCATGCCATGCTTATGAGGATGAAAGCACGCTTGTGTCAAACATTGGTAAATTGGCACAACGTCTCAACAAGCCAATCTATTTACCGTAGTTGTATAGAAGGTTTGACTGACCATCTCAAGACAAGCGAACAAGAATTATATATACCTGACCAACAACCCCTCAAACAATTACCCCTTTGCAAGTTAGGACACTGCAGGTGTGAAATTGATCTGATGTTTATGTTGTTACAAGTTTGCTGGATCCAGCACGCAAAGGACATTTCATGTAATTTCCACATGGTGTGCTCCAAGGCGGGCCAGTTGCCTCCAGTGCCTCCACCGCACTTGGCAGCGCCTTGGTTTGAATACGGATGATTGTGGACCACGTGATACTTGCAGCATAGAAACGGTGATTGCCTTTGCAGGTTAGTTTTAAAATATGCGGAACGGCAACTGGTTAGTTAGCGTTAGTTTCAAGTTCTTTCTTGAGACTTGTTTGACTGTGCACTTCGGCCGACTTGTTTTGGCCAGACTTTGGAATCGACACTTTTCAGTGCTGAAGCTTCTCATTCATTTTGTAGCATATCTTTATCACAATGCTGGCGCGACTGTTGAAGTATATGGTCGAGGCAGCTGCAGCAGCTGCTGTGCCGGGCATGCATGGGGGCCCAGGTTTTCATGAGTGACAGGTGTCCATAAATGCATCCGTTTGTAAGTTTGGTCACGTCACTGTTATTTTGTCTTGCATGGACCAATGGAGTCAAGTGTGTTTACACAGAGTGTTCTTTGTGCCACCCAAGCAAGTTCCTTGTCGTGTGAGGCCGGAGAATCAGCAGATGCAAGCAAACCTGAATGACTACTACGCGAGGCTGAGAGGGTGTTGGCAGTCACACTTTGACAAGCCATTGACAATGGGGCAAGCAGACATCATGTGAATTTGTTGCCATTGTTCTCAAGGTTTTGCATCGAACACTTCATTTAACGCGCACGCCTTGTTTGCTTGTCTTTTGCTCCGCAAATCCGGCACTTTTGACTTTTCTAGATCTTGGGTCGCGGCTTGAACGTGCTGACAGTTCTCTTATACTCCAGGTGGTGGACCTCCTATACTCTTGGAGAGGATCAGCTTGAGGCACTGAATCATATTTCGACAAATGCTTGTCCTTTGTTCTTTGATTTCTTTGTGGAGTGGGCTGGTGTGCCGCTGAAGATCAGTTGACTGGCGGTGTCCTCACCAAGTTGCAATGCAAGGAAGAGAAGCCGAAGGAGCAGCCTTTGGCTTTCGACAAAGAGGTGCGCAGACTGGACCGGCGGACAGCTGCAAAGCTCAGGTGGCACACAGCTTGGTGATTCTGCTTTGTCAATTTTGATTTCTGCTTTGTGGTAGATTTCTTGAGCTCAACAATACTAATTACCCTGCTACACTCCGTCATTGCAGGCAAGAAGAATCTTTCAAGGTGTCCAATGGCTCTTTTTATTAAAGCTGTTGCCTCGATTAGACTTTCTTCGCCGCAGTCCAAGCTTCTTGTCCAATGTAAGCAAAGCGCATGGCACAGCACTGGATACAACCTCCCCTTGACTCGCGTGAGATTGCCAATCTGAAACAACCGGTTCCTTTGCGTGGAAACCACCAGCCAACCCGAAGCACCTAAAAGAACCCACCGGGAGCAGCATGGCCTTGTCCTGTGCTGTATCATGCGATGAGTGGCGGGAAAAGCAGGCCGCAGCCGTGAACGCATGCGAGGCGCCTTTGTTTGAAGACCATACGAGGCCCCGCATTGCATAAATGAATACAAATGGCATCAGATGATGTTGTACTTAGACATCTTTAAGATGCTTCTAGCTGGCTCACAGTACGTGACTCATGCCCTGGCAATTACCGCAGAGTCCGGCCCTATGCAACTGAACGGCGCAGGAGGCCCGGTATTTCGAGGCAGTGCAGCTCATCAATTCAGCGCTGGAGGCTGCGAACAAAGTTTCATTTCTTGGCACGACACTACATTTGTTGTCTCAGTGACACTAGTGAGTTTCAATTCAGACGCTACTAGGTGCTCCTGGCATCGCTACTAGGAGCAAGGACGCTA